TTGCACAATAAAATACAAGGACATTGAATTAATGAATGAGTAGATGTTTAATGCAAAGCAAAACATCCATGTTAATAAGTTTAGTATATTAAAATAATTATATTTTAAGTATTTTTAAATATTATTTTTCTTAAAAGCTAATAATTATATCTACAAAAACATATTATTGTAATAAAAATGATTCATATGCCACTTATGTCTTTTCAATATAAATTTTATAATTTCAAATATAAAGGATTTTAATTATTTTATTTATATTGGGTCTTAAAAATTATGTAATAGGCTTAATTAAAAAATAGAATATGTCAAAGAAATGAGTTAAGATAAAATTTTGAAAAGATGATATACTATTTGAATATTAAAATGAAATAAACAAGAAAGAAAAATTAAAAATTATATCAAATTTATAATTAATAGTTTTTATCACAAAGAAATAAGACATACTTGTTCCAAAAGTAGAATACAAATAAGTTGTCCAAAATACTAAGTATGCCTTTTACCTTACTTCTGTATAGAATAGCCACCAAAAAAAGCCTTTTAAAAGGCTTTTATAGACCATAAGGCTTTTAGTTCAAGTATCAAGTTGTACATTGCTTTCAACACGACTTCTTTAAAATAAGAAACTTATAGAAGAAGTTTTAACCACCACATGGTATAGATATTATAATCTAAATATTTAATTTTAAATTAATAAACTTCCTTAAAGTTTTATAGAAAATTATCATCTTTTTAAAATATTTTTAACTACCTCTACTTATTTTTATTTACTTGAATAATACAGGAATTTGTCACATTATCCTCAAAAAGTAATTGTATATCAAAGTAAAGACTAGACTTAATTTAGTTGGTATAGAGTTTTAACTTTCAAAACTAAAATGATATTATTACAACCTTTCTATGCTAGATTGTTAAATAAATACTAACTGTATAGCACCAAATAACACCAGATGTTCCAAAAAATAGAATAATGATCAAAAGTATATATATATATATATATTCAATTTCTTTCAGAAATTAATTTTAAAGAATTAAATTAAATTTCAATATATATATATATATATATATATATATATATAGAGAGAGAGAGAGAGAGAGAGAGAGAGAGAGAGTTAATTTATTTTGGAACAATTTTTGAACTTTTTTAATTAAATAAAGAAAATAATTAATAAGAATTTTCATATTCAAAATGATTTTTGTTAAACTTAAATTTATGAAATTAATATAAGATTAATATATTAAGAATAATAAAAAAAATAGATGTATTAGCATTCTTGAATCAAGTTAATCAAGGGATATTAGAAAAATCAGGATTTTTTATTTTTTAACTAAAATATGCTTTTTTTATTTCAAAAGGGTAAATCTAATGAAACAATTGCAATTTGTTTTAAAACTTTTAATATGTAAGTTTTTTTCAGGCAAGAATAGAAGATTTTTAAAGATCTTTTAAACTTAATTTTTTTCTCAAACGAATATTTTTTCTAAAATTATTTTTTTATATATCTCTTTATTAAATATAATAATGACTTATTTTGCTTGTAAAAATGAAACATAATAGGGTTTTAATACTGATATTAATTTTAGCTGGATTAAAAAGAAAATCTAATACATTGAATTTATTATTACATTTAATCTACTTGAAAAAAATCAATATGTTACGTGAATTTTATTAATTTATAATACATTATGGCTTTTAAACATTTCTTAAATAATAAAATATTGCAATAATGTCTAATATCAATTCTCATTTGTGATACCCGTTTTATTTTATCAGTAATTTGATGTGGTATTTTACATTAAATTTTTTTGTTAACAAGGAAAGATAAAAGAATAGATATATAAATAAAAAATAAAAATTTGAGATTTAAAAAGATTGCTTAAACAAATATATTCTATGTAAGTTTTGTTTTAAAATTTAATATAGCAAGTAAAGGCTCAAAAATACCTTTTTGATAGTAGTTTGTAAATTTTAAAAAATTACAGTATCTCCTTCAATTATAAATTTTTTCTAACCTTAATTAGTATTTCTTAAGAGTGACTGTATGAATCTAAAGTAGGTTATATATTAATTCAAATACTTGCTGAATTTACTTTTGAAGTCAATTATACATTTATAAGGTCAATAATTTTGTAAAAATATTTCGTTATATATTTTTAAAGTTATCTTATTTGATATTTGTGTTTGATTAATTTTCTTTACAGATTTCTAATTATAAAAAATATTATTAAAAAAACTCTTTTTTGCAGTCTATTCAAATAGTTTTGGTATAACATATGGAAATTTCATGTTCTAAATTTATATGTAAAAATATATTTTATTATATACATATAATATAAATATTTTTAAAATCAATTGATATTTAGTTTAATTTGATGTTTTTATTTTTAATCAAAATAGGTTTAATATCATCTATTTAGTGTTGGATTCAATAATATTTGATATTAATAAGTTGTTATTAATGAATTACTTATTTTATTATAATAATTTAATAATTTAAAAAAATACAAAAAAATCTATGAATTTAACATACAATATTTTAATTTTTGTTACCAAAGATGTTAGTTATGGTTATTGTGTCTTTTATCAAAAATATTAATTAATTAGTAATTTAAAATCTAATAAGAAAAAAATTTATTACATGCTTCTCAGGTCCAAAATAAATTTGTATCGAAGATTAAATGATGATAATTAAAGGATGACAAATGACCTATACAAAAATAAATCCTAAAATAATATAGTCAAATAAATGTATTGTGGATGAATTCCTTTTAAATCCAAAAACATATATATTTTAAAAGTATACTTATTGTTTTGTAATTTCATTTCTTCTATATAAAATATCATATATTTATTTTTTTATTTATTTACAATATAAAATGTGTATTTTTAAGATTTTAGTCTTTGTCTTTTTTATGAAATATTTTGTTTTTTTTAGCATAAACATAAATATCTTTTACTTCTAATTTTAAATTTTGATTAACTTTTAACTATTTCATTAAGTTATGAAAGAACTAAATGCTTAAGAAGGATTCAAAAATATTATTATTGGATTCAACATAAAGCTCAATTCTTTGGTTTAGTATATGGGAATAAGAAAAAAATTAACAATTATTTAACTTCTCTTTTTTTTTTACTTTCAAATTTATAATCTATTTTAATTACTTATGGTAACTCCAATTACTTGTTTTTAGTATTGTTAAATAGATCTCATAATTATTTAGTATTTATAGTTTTTAAATTTTAATTTAATAATTTATTGAGTTAAATCCAATAAATAAAACGTATCTTGTTTTTTATTATATATATATATATATATATATATATATTGATGTTTAACATTTTTTTCCTTCCTTAATTGTGTTTCTTAATCATAGTACTAATTATGAAGAACATTCAAGAAAGGCTACCTTGAATTGGAGTAGAGGAGTGAATTTTATCCATACACTCTGATAAATTTTCCAAAAGATGGTGGTTCTAATTGTATTTGAAAATTTAAAGTTTATGTTTTTATTCTTGTTCTTTTATCTTTAAGCCTTGAGTAAATAGAGAAACTTAAAATTTTCTAAGTATATTACAAGACTTTTGGTTACATTTCATAATATTTTTCATATTCAGTTCTTTATGTTAATTTTAAATATTTTATAGTTGATTGTTTTGTATTTCATGAAAAGAAAAGTTTCTTGGTTAGATTTTGTTTTTTTTCTACTTTTTCTTTTAATATGTATGAATAAATTCTGATTATTTACAACTAAGATTATTTTTTTCAGAAGCTCATGTTTTTCATTTTTTATTTTAAATAGATATAATTATTTCAAAACTTATAGCTATTCAATCATGTGTACTAAGAATCCCTCTTTTGGTTGGATTATTTACAATATAAATAAAATGAGAAAAAACTTAGAGGTTAAAAATCATACAATCTACATGATGCAATTTTATCCTGTAAGAAGTGACATAATTTTCTTGTTTATTACCAAAAAAAAAAGAAAAAAAAAGAAAAAAAAAGGGTTCTAATAAAGATAAATGATTATGCTCAAACACCAAGAATATACCGACAACAAGTTAAAAGATTAAGAAGTACTGAATAAACAAGATATAACATTATTCACATAATTAAATACACAACTAAGGAGAGTATTGTACTGGAATTGTTTTATAATTCGTACGCACAATGTAGGGAGGGAGAGGAGACGAGACGAGCAAGCTGTGGGTAATTGAACGAGGCTTTCTCCCTCGAAACCCGCCGGTGTTGCGAGTACCGTCGACCCAACAACCTCCGAGATGGCGGCGATGGTGCATCCATACCGCAATCCTTTCTCTCGTTCTGTGTGTGTGCGGCAAAGTTCCGATAACGATTGAAGGTGGCGACAACAGCCCGCACTTCCGCCGCGTCTTCAATTTGCGGTCCGTCACTGGCAGTTGCTCTGATCCACGGTTATAGGCTCCCCTAGGCCGGCGGCGACTCCGCGGACCACCACCCCACGGCGAACGCCGCTGGGCAAGTTCGAACAGGAGGATCGCGTTCATTGCACGGCGTAGGAGTGTTCATGTACCGCCGCATGAATCGAGGAGGTAACGCCAGAAAACTTTTAAAGGCGGGGGGGGGGGGGTGAGTGTGATCGACAGCGCGTGTGCTTGTCGTGTGATTAATTGATTGACCCCCTGCTCTATTGTTTGTTTGTTTGTTTGGTTGCCCTTGCTCCAAGCATCTCCGCTTATCTCCTTCCTCGCGTGCCGAAGAAGCTTGTTGTTATTCAGGTACGCTGATTGCAATCTGTGTCGTTTTTTTTAAAAATAAATTCTGCACGTTTTTAGCGAGGAATTGACTGTTCGGGGAGCGCATCGCGTGATTGCGAGTCGGTGAAGGGGCTGTCACATGTGATTGTGGCGAGTGTTGAGGTAGAGCTGGACATGAAGTGGTGGGTTTATTTTTCTGTGTACGGTTTCCTAGAGACTGGCGTTGTGTGGAACCACATAAGGACGGTCTTTCTGCCTGTTTGGCAAAGTGGTATCACGATCTGGCCCGGTCTGCGCAATCGTTGTGTCAGTCGAGGCTGTGCAAGATAGAATGGTGTGTCTCGAGATATGAGTAGGGATCTGGGTGCGAGGTGGTAGCTGGATGTTTCGAGGCAAGGTATCGTGTCTCCAGTGTTGTCAGTTAGTCCATGTCCAGGCGTGTTCCCATGTCACTTTGCTGTGCATTATCTTGCACCTTTGAGCATTCTGCGGCTGTCCAGGCGACACCGGGTTTGCTGATCACGTCGTGCTGGCCAGTCGTCCGGTTTGGAGAGCGTTGATACATTTCTCTGTGCTAGTGGACGTGCTGAGAGAATGGATATTGTTAAAGCGGCAAATTGTGTTCTAGGTAGTAGAAGTCGTGCAGCAAGTGCATTTCTGATCTCAGTTGTTGAGTGGCGACCAGTTGGTGAGAGGGATGCATTGTTGGGGTCTGCCGGTATGCCGTTCTCGCGTCTGTTGATATACTACGTCTGCAAAGCTATAGTTGAAGTTCATGGTGTTTGTAGTACAGGGAGTGAAGGTCCTATGCATGTTTTTGACGCATTCGTGTGATTGCACGTTTTCAGGATGGCGAAGGCTTACCCGAAGGTGAGTGAGCAGTACCTGCTGGACATCGAGAGAGCTCGCAGGAAGCTGCGCGCGCTGATTGCAGGTAAATATGCACGTGGTTGAAGGCCGGCGTGGCAAGGTGTAGGATGAGGAAGGAAGTAGTGGTTAGATGAGATGTGTGGCAGTTTCGTGAGCAGCCGTTGAGGTTGCGGACGTGGGCATGGATGGAGGTTGAAAGATCGTGCAGTGGGCCAAATTGATGGAAGAAACAGTAACCGTGAGCATTGTTAGCAGCGTCGGTATGAGTCGATGCTGGACGTAGTGAAGTTCTTTATAGCTAATCTGTGCGTGTCATGTTGTGACTTGCGGTGGCGGGGCTCCGGCGGCGTTGGGTGTGAGGAGTGTATGACATAGGATGTTTCAGATTGGTGTGGATTGGTGGGCGCTGGAACTAAAGGTGTGGGTTGGGTGGATTTGCAGATAAGAACTGTGCACCCATCATCCTTCGTCTCGCGTAAGTTGGTGACGCTTTGCATATTTGGGTGGTGGAGTGAATGTCCAATTTGTGCCGTGTGAAAAGTGGTCCAGTTATGATGGGATGTTGAGAATTCGGAGCAGAATGCCATTTAGAGGGAGCGCAGCGGCGGGTGGAAATGGGGGATGGAATGTTAGTGATGAGTGAGGGTCGATTTGTGATTGTGACAGATGGCACGGGTCGGGAACTTACGATCAGGAGTCGAAGACAGGAGGTCCTCTTGGAACCATCCGGTTCGGGCAGGAGCTTGCGCACGGCGCCAACGCGGGGCTGGACATTGCAGTGAATCTGCTGCAGCCCATCAAGGAGCAGTTTCCGGAGTTGTCGTACGCTGACTTTTACACGGTAATGAATAAGAAGCGGGTTTGACGATGGGTGGGGCCAAGTAGGCTAGGTGGTTGCAGCAGCGTTATTGGGGGGGGGGGGTTGCAGGCACTGCAATGAGTGAGGAGGTGGGGAGCTCCAGGAATAGGTGTTGGGATTGGAGTGGGAAGAAGGTTGGATTCTAAGGTTTGATGTCATGCGGTTGCAGCTGGCTGGAGTCGTTGCCGTGGAGGTGACAGGCGGGCCCACCATTCCTTTTCACCCTGGGCGCAAGGTAAGAGCCTGGCTGGGCATTCGGGGAGAAGTGCGAGTTTTGGTGGTTGCTCCCGAATGCGGGATTCGTGAAGCTGTGATGTTGTGAGAAGCAGGGGAAGTGGCGATTGGGGAGTGAGTCTTGAAGGGTTCTGACGTAGACGTGTGGGATGCGGGTGGAAGTGAGAAGGTGGGGACAGCGTGGGATGGTTGAGAGCGAAGCGGGACTTAATACTGATGTCCGAGTGTGGTGAATGTGGTGTGTGTGTGCAGGATCATGAGACATGCCCCGTGGAGGGTCGGCTTCCCGACGCCACGAAGGGTACGTAATCGGGTGGTGTAAGGTGCATTTTGGAGGATGTGAGGGCGATGTTGTTGGGTGTGAGGAGGGATGACGAGTTTCCGGATGCGGGTTGTGTTGATGAGAGGAGTTTAGATGTGGTTGTCGTGTGCGGCTTCCAGGTGAAGTAGGCATGTGAAGGGGTAGGGGGAGGATATTGGTGGAAGTGACGTGTTGGTGGGCGTGTGGGTGGGCAGGTTTGGATCACCTCCGATGCGTGTTCACGAAGCAGATGGGGTTGACGGATAAAGACATTGTGGTGCTGTCGGGTGCACACACTCTGGTAGGACATGGTGGGAATCGGGAGTGCCGAGATGGTGGTGGTGTTGTGGAATGGTGCAAGGTTTGGGGAAAGGGGCGGTGGGTGAATTGGGTGGTGTGAGGAGGGTGAGTGGGTGCAGTGACTGAGCGGTGGATGTTGGTGGTGTGCGGTGTTGCAGGGGAGGTGCCACAAGGACCGGTCCGGATTTGAGGGAGCATGGACGCCGAACCCCCTTAGATTCGACAACTCGTACTTCCAGTGAGTGATGTGTGAATTGATGCAGGCCGGTGGGTGGGTTATGAAGGCGATGCGAGTGGGTGAGATGGAGTTATCGTTGAGGATGTGGGCTAATGATTGTGATGGACATGGTCGTGGGTAGGGTGCTGTTGGAGGGAGAGAAGGATGGACTGATCATGCTGCCATCCGACAAGGCTCTGCTGGATGAGCCGAAGACTCGTGAGTTGGTTGAGTTGTACGCGAAGGTATGTGCCGTGTTTTGTTTGGTGGTGACGTGGTTGTGTCGGAAAAAATCAGAATAGCATAGGGCCCATCGCCTTAAGGTAGTCTGTGTTAAGTGTAGAACGGATTGAGAGGGTGGTGTCCGGGTGCCATTGGTGAAGGTTGGTGGCGGTGATGATGTATTGAGTGGTGCTTGTGGGGTGTGACAGGACGAGGACAAGTTTTTCGAAGACTACGCCGAGTCTCACATGAAGTTGTCAGAGCTAGGGTGAGTGGGTGTCGTTGTAGAGATGTTCGTGCATCGGAAGGTCTGTGGAACCTGGGCTTTTTATGTTGTTCTAGAAATGATCCTTGATGGCGAGATCCTTGATGCTCTGCAGGTTTGCCGAGGCTTGAGTACGAGGTAGAGTCGTTCAATTTGAAGCTGCAGTGCGGGGAATGTCGGAGGCGAACGGGCTGGAGATGTCCTGCAATTTGGATGTGTGCGCTGGAGCGGATATTGGAACGGGGACCTTTATTGGGGTCAGATATTGCGTGTTTTCATAGGGTCGGCTGTGCAAGAAGATGACAGTGTTCATCGAACAGAACACGGGATTTCATTTTATTTTATTTTTGAAAGGTTTCGATTTTGTTTTAGTTTCGATTTTGGGTTTGATGTTGGGTTGTGTTTTGTTGCGTGCTTTGTTTTCTTTTGGCGTTCTTGGTATTGTTGTGTTTGTCGGGATTACTTGGACTTGGTGCAGACGTGCATAATGGTCGGTGTCGTGCCTGAGTTGCTTGTACCTGATTAATGTGGCTGGTTTCAACGGTGCTGTAGTGGTATGGGTTTTTTGACGTTTGGTGATCCAAGTTTTGTAGTGAAAAGTTATATTTTTATATGATTTTGACAGTGAAGGTTTTAGTGTCCATGTAGGAAGCGGTTTAAAAGTAGTTGGCAGGTCGTTACTCATGCATGATAGGGGATAAGGCATGAATATGAGAATGCACAGATCTCCAATATGTTACAAAAGGTATTTGAGATTGACAGATCTTTAATGATAATTTTCAAAATTTTCTGTAAACGAACCAATATGAACTCTTTGCCTATGTGTTGTCATCGTGCAGACATGCGCCAAAGTTGAAGTCCGTAATCTTCATAATTAGAAATGATAAGTTAAATGTAACATTAGCGTAACACCGGTTTGTACAAATTGACTTCTGTTTTTACTTTTTTCATTCGTACCAGTAGTTTTGCTGAGTTGGATAACACAGTCTGCTTCTTAGAAGTACTGCGGACAAAGTAACGAATGTAAAAGGCATGTAACAATTGTAACTCATGTATTCTGCACTGAAAGAAATCTGAAAAGCAAAATTATCTCGTTTGAAATGTAGAAACATCAATTCATGTAGACAACACGGTGAACTCTCTGGTGTGTGAAGGCATCCTGAACTTTTCTCTATATTGAGTTTAGTTGACTAGTAGAAGAGAACTTGACAAGTTGATCACCGAAATATGTGCAGTAATGTCGTTTTAATCCAAATAACTTTTCCATGTTTACAATATTTATGAATATGTACAAATGTTCGGAAAGACATGTAGAACAATTCAAACTTAATTATTATATCAGGAATAAGGACCTAGGGTTCATTAATATCATTGTTGTACTGGTTCGAAATCTACAATTACACTCAGTTCGAGAAGTACAAAATCTCTTTTGGGTGAAACCTTTTAGTATTGCTCCTGAAGAACACACTGCACTTACGTATCTGAAAGGTACATTGTACAAAGTTGAATGTATGAACATTCAAGTGAAAGTAAACTTTCAAATAATGGTTTGAATATCTAATGTCAACATATATTGATGTTTACCTCTAGCATAAATCTTTATTTCTTTATTTCTTTATTTGTAATGGAACAGAATGAATGCAAGATTGTCAAAAATTGCAAATAACCGATGAGTTGTATGGAAAGTCACAAATATTTCCTAAAGTTCTGAGAGTCCCCTTTTAAACAATTGATATGTTGAACTTCTAAATATGAGGTTCTTTTCTATTTTCTTAAAGAAATTTAAAGATAACTAAAACCAATAGGTACTTTTCTTTTCCTATGAATTTTATTTTAGTAATTGCAAGGGCACTTACACATGACTAAGGTTTTAGGGGAAATCAAGATAGTGTTGGGCTAGTTGTATTAGCTAGGCTTCTTAGGATAGCTTTTTCAATAAGTTCAAAAAATTTCATGCATTATAAAAAAGAGCATAATGGTTATTGTTGTCTTAGGGTATTGCAAAATTCTCCAATTTCTTTGTAATGTATTTAAATATCAAAAGAATTTAGCTTGGTAGAAGTATTTGGTAGGTAGCTTAGAAACTAAGTTATGTTAAGTGGCATCCTAGGAAATGTTTGGAAAAGCTTAGAAATTAAGCTACATTACTTAACTTGGACCATAAGTCTTTCTAATAAACTTCTTAAGGGGCTATTCCTTCTAAATTGAAGTTTTAAATTTATTCTTGGTAAAATATTATTTTAAATATTGGTTTCAAAATCTAAAGATAAATTACCACAAATAAAAAAATATACTAAATAAATTAAAGTAATTCCTTCAAAGACATATTAAAACTCTATTTTATGATTTTTTTATTTACTAAGACTCTTGTAACTTATACAATCTCTTAAATTTTAAGTAATACTTAAAAATTAAAATAAATTCTATAATTTATTTTTTTTATTTAAAAAAATTAAAATATTTTTTATCACAAACATCTCAATTAAGATATATTGGAGGGAATTACACAAGTATTTATTATATATAACATTATAACAAGTAAAGACAATTTATTGTTAAAGAATAGACAAAAAAAATTTTATATTATAAATTTTAGTAGTAGAAGATATTTATTTTGATATTTATGTCTAAAATAAATGAATGTTAAAACCACAACATTTAATTATAAACACACCCAGGTACACAAATTCTTCCAAAATATAAAAAAAGAGAAGGTAGATGTATTATTTAGTCTATTTTATTACTTTTTTAAAATTCAATACATACAATTATTTTGTTAGAAATGCCCAAATTTATCCTATAATATCTAAAGTATTTTTAGCATTTTAATGTAAGAAGGTTTTGTATAAATATTTTTGTGTTAAAAGGTTGCATATAGAAAAGAATACAATGATTATAAATAGACCATCAGAATTGAAATATATTTATACATAATAATAAAATCACATCTAAAAGCATATAATTTTTCAAAAAAACCATTAGCCACAATATACGGATAGTATGCTTGCAAAGAGTAAAGAATAAGGACTTTGAAAATAAGATGTTAGAAAAATAGTTGTAATTTCTTATTTTTCTATTGTCAAATAAATTAACTATATATTAGACTTATTTCCATTTAAACTTAAGAAGAAGAAATACTAGTCTATACACATTAAAGACAACAATATTTGGATATAATATATATATCTTGTTAGAGATATTAGCCACTAAACTTCTTTTGATAAAAAATCTAAAGCCTTCTCATGGAAAATTTATTCTTAAGAAAAAACCAAATTTAATGTAAAAATTAGAATAGATAAAATAAAATGTATTTATAATTTTTTTTACTATGCAATTTCTACTACACAATATAATAAATTCTAACTAGTTTTTATAAAAATTATTAGATGGTTGAACACATGCAATAGTTTTTCTTTTTTTTATTAAGTAGAAGTGAATGTCTAGACAAAAACTATTTTGAATACCACACAAAACTAATTTCTTGTATGTGATAAAATTATATATGCCAATAGGTACAAATTATTGTATAAATTATAATTTTTCATCATAACAAATTATCTCAGATATACCTATAGCTACTTAGATAATATGAATAGGTAGAAGTAGGAAAAATTAGGTTAATTTGACAACATCTTATGGCAAAGCTTCCTAGAAGCTTTATAGACATAATTTTACCTTTATACATGTTTATAGATGATTGATAGGTTAAAAACTTTATCAACAAATTAGCCACATGCTACACATATTGATAGCTTGTGGTACAAGCTAAAAATATAGTGTTCTTTTAAAAAACTTACCTTGTAAATTAAAACATGTGACTTGCAAATTGAACAAGTGTTGGAGGTTCTATAGAATGTTGTATGTAGCTCTTAGGTAGATAGTATATATAGAAGCAAGAATAAAGCCTTCTTCATTCTTGTCAATTCTTTTTTTGCTTCAAGTCTAATTTCAAGAGTTCCTAGTTTTTCTAGCTTTTGGCAATAGCCATTTTAGTTTCTTATTAAATATATTTGTTTCTCATTTTTAGTTTTTCATCTCGCTTTGATTCATTTTTCATTTGTTTACATATCTTCTTTGAATTTTTGTCCTTTACAAATTAACAAGAGTATTAATTTATTATTATTTTTATTTTTAGAAATAAATTAATTAATTCACTTCTATTATTATGTTTCAAAGATTGTAGACTACCTACTTTGAACTAACTTTTATTTTTTTAATACTAATATTTTTTTTAAAGAGAGTGAATTATTTTTCTTTTTGAAAAAATTTTCATTTGATATTAGAGGATGTCGATTATTCTCTTCTAATTTGACTTGTCAATTTATTAAGTTATTTGAAATAGAAGGAAAAAACATGGATACTATACTTGGTAGAAGTGAAAATAGATTTGCAACTATTGTAGATCTTTATGAGCTTGTCAACACTTAGGGTGGAAATTTCTTACATCACCAATGCCAACTAGAGATGTACTATTCCTACAGCTATGAAAGAAGTCGAGAATCTAAGCTAAGAAGTTGTAGAGTTAAGAGAAGCATGTAGATCAGTCTCACCATCAAATCTAAGAAGTCTTACTTCTACAAGTTTGAAAGAGATAAGGATTAATATGCTCAAGAAATTTGATGGAACAAGATTAAAATTTTGAGAATTTTTGCATCAGTCAAGCTCTATCTAAGATTACATCATTTTCAATACTCTGATGGATTTACTTAAATTGAGTTCATAGATACACTTCTATTTGAAAGTGCTCTCTCTTGGTTTGCATCTTTGATAGAAAAAGATTCATGAGTAATTTATGATTTGAACTCATCTCTAAAAGTGTTGATGGCTACATTTAGAGAAAGTGATTAAGAAAGAGTAGCAGAGATCAAGTTTTTATCTTTACAATAAAGATCACAATTAGCCATCATATATGTTATTGAATTCCAAAACCTCACTTATGACATGGATTGAAATAAAAAGTTTTAATCAATCAATTTTAATATGAATTAAACAATAATATTAAAGATTTGTTATTGACAATGCCAAAAGTAGATTTATTAAAACAATTTATTGTTTAAGCCATTGCATATAATAATTGGCTATTTGAAAGATATTAAGAATAAAGATTTGGCTGGAGAAGAATAAATCAAGTAATGATAATAACTCTTAAATTTTTAAAAACTTATTTGTCAAAGATAGAACTAATGTAAATTGACACGACATATTTTAAATCTCTCGTTGAGCAAGAAAAGACTCAATGTCATCAAGAAGATTTATACATATATTATAGAAAAATTAAATATATTGCTTAATATTATCTAAAAAAATAATTCAATCACAAAATGAGAATCAAAGTCTCTTAAAAAAGAAAATATATCAAAAAATGAATTTCTCTAG